GCTATTTATGGAATTTTGAATTCTGACCTTTTCACTTTACAATGTATCATAAGCATTGTTTCCACTTAAAATGAATATGAATGTTGGCCAGATACTCTAGATATTACCCGTGTCAACCATCTCATTTTTCAGATGAGGAAACTGAAGTGCAGAGAGACCTTCAGTGTTTTGGCTAAAGCCAGAATATGGAGCAAAACCATACTTGCAGGCAGTTTTCCCGGGCCCTTGAGTGTCACATGGCTGCTCCCCATTTACCAGAGAGAAGATAGGAGGATGTAGGGAAGGGTACTCTTCATTCAACCAGCCAGTGTTTACTGAGTATCACTGAGTACCACTGGTGGTCTGGTGGTGAGGAAACAGCAAGCACCCTGGTCCGTCCCTACCCTCAAGGATCTTACGTTGTAAATGTTGGTGAGTTGAGGTACAGAATGAAAGGTGTCGTGGCCTGTTTATAGGACAGAGGATGAACACAGATAGCAGAACACAAAGAAAAACTCGGACACACATACAGACAGTTGACTCAAGTCATAATATACCAGGTCAGTTTTATTTTTATACTCTAAAAGATTAAAGTTAGTTCCTTGTACGTAACCCACCCAGGCATTGCAACAATGGCCATAAATTCTGGAATATGTAAACTTAGGGAAGCAGATATCCCCTGGCTCAGGGTTTCTAGGTGGTTGCTCTAGGCTCTAGGCATAGATCATGGACTAAGATTAGCAAGGATGGGCAAGGCGAGTTATAGGGGGCATTTCTTATCCCCAGCTTTTCTTAGGGTGATCCCCTAAGATCTTCCGCTGAACCCTGGCGGCTTTGCATGGCTTACGTTGCCCCTCCTTTCAGGGGTCTTACCCGTCATTGACTAACCAGCCATCTTATGGGGTGTCCGCAGCAATCACAGGAACGATGTGCTTATTGTGTGGCCTCCAGACCCCCAATGCCGTGGGGCAGGGTAGCTCTTGCTTACTTGCAACTCAGGTCTTTTGTGATGCCTCTAGGCAACACCTTGTTTTTGTTATGCCTCAAGGCAACAGGGGCCTTGTCCAGAACATATTACTTTTAAATGCTCTGGGCAGAGCACGTACATTACTAAATTTAATTCTTAAACTAGGAAAATACATGTCAGTCCCCTACAAAAGGACATTGAGTTTCTGCTTTACTCCGCTGAGGTGGCAAGGGCAGAGTGTACTGAGGCACGGGGGCCAAATATAATTTCTGAAGGTTGGTGAGGTAGCCTGAATACATTACTTTACATGGCAAAAAGGATTTTGCAGATGTGATTAAGGATCTTGATTGTATTGGATTACCCAGGATGGCCCGATGTAATCAGGAGAGGCCTTCCTTATAAGGGGCAGAGGGAGGCAGGCAGGTCAGGAGTTGTGGCTGAGATGCAGCTGGCAGTGTGATGTGATCACGGCCTGGGGGCCAGGAGGGGGCGTGTGGGCAGCCTCCATGGGCAGGAAAAGGCAAGAGACAGACTCCCTGCTAGAGCTTCAAGGAGGAAGGCAGCCTGGCCAACATTTTGATTTTGGCTTGGTAAGACCCATTCTGGACTTCTGACCTCCAGAACTATGAAAGAACAAGTCTGTGTTGTTTTAAGCCACTGAATTTGTAGTGTTTTTTTTTATAGTAGCAATAGGAAACTGGAGATCTGACTTTGTAGAGACTACTTTTTATGAAAAGAAAGAAGTGATATTTAGATATCGTGGGATTATAGAATGTTAGATTCAAAGGTTCATGTCTGCTTTGTCTAATCCGATAGCTTCATGTTTTTTAGTTGAAAATGATGAGAAACAAAGTATCTGTAGAACATTTCCTTATTCAAACTGATTAGATTACTTTTAATTTGAAATTATATATGTAGCAGCATGATTCATAATAGCCCCAAACTGGAATGCCCAAATGCCATCAATAATAGAGTGGAAAAACAAATGGTGATATATTCCTGCAATACTGCGCAACAACGAGAATATATGGACTACAATTACAAGCAAGTGATTCATATGGATGAATCACCTGAATGCATGTTACTGTTGCTAGAAAGAAACCGGATATAGGCTGGGCGTGGTGGTTTATGCCTGTAATCCTAGCACTCTGGGAGGCCGAGGCGGAAGGATCGCTTGAGGTCAGGAGTTCAAGATCAGCCTGAGCAAGAGTGAGACCCCCATCTCTACTGAAAATAGAAAGAAATTAGCTGGACAACTAAAAATATATAGAAAAAATTAGCTGGGCATGGTGGCGCATGCCTGTAGTCCCAGCTACTCGGGAGGCTGGAGCTTTCTGCAAGAAGGATTGCTTGAGCCCAGGAGTCTGAGGTTGCTGTGAGCTAGGCTGACTCCACTGCACTCTAGTCCAGGCAACAGAGCAAGACTGTCTCAAAAAATAAATAAATAAGTAAAATGAAAGAAGATATCAGATACAAAAGAGTTAATACCATATGATTTCACTTAAATAGAGTTCAGAAATAGGCAAAACTAATCTATAATGTTAAAAGTTACCTTGGAGAGGGCTCAGAGGCTTCTGGGATGCTGGCAATGCACTGTGTCTCGATCTCTGTGCTGGTTATATGAGTGAGTTCACTTTGTGAAAATTCATATTGTTAGGTAGATAACAAGGGATTCCGGGTCTCCTAGGGAAAAAAAGTGCCTGCCATTGTGGTTCCACCCCTCAGGGGGCTTTCTGAGAGGCTCATGGGAAATCCATAAGTGCAGTAAGACTCATGATGGTCATATAACTCCCAACTGTCCAATCAAAGTGGTTCCATGATGACATCTGAACCACAGGGAGATCCCTGTCTGGACACCATAAAACAAGACCCAGACCATAACCAAGCACTCTTTCTATTGCCATGTGAATCTGGTCATCATCTGCAGCATATGAATCTTGCTGTAAACCTATATCTTGCTCTTGCTTTATAATCCTCTCTTCCTCTCCTTGATAAAACCATTTTCATGCTTGCCTTACTTTGATGTGTCTGGTCATTCTTTTTTTTTTTTTTTTTTTTTTTTTTGAGACAGAGTCTCACTTTGTTACCCAGGCTAGAGTGAGTGCCATGGCGTCAGCGTAGCTCACAGCAACCTCAAACTCCTGGGCTCAAGTGATCTTCCTGCCTCAGCCTCCCGAGTAGCTGGGACTACAGGCATGCACCCCATGCCCAGCTAATTTTTCTATGTATTTAGTTGGCCAATTAATTTTTTTTATTATTAGTAGAGACGAGGTCTCGCTCTTGCACAGGCTGGTTTTGAACTCCTGACCTTGAGCAATCCACCCACCTCGGCCTCCCAGAGTGCTAGGATTATAGGCGTGAGCCACCGCACTCGGCCCTGTCTGGTCATTCTTTAGCCATGAGTGCACCAAGAACCAGCATTTTAGACTGTTATTTTACAAACTTCTGCATGTTATATGTCAATAAAAAGATTACTTGAGATAAAACTGAATGGATGTGTGTGATCCCAATGGTTATTGTAACAATATCTTGATCTAAAGAATATGAACTTTTAGAGAAAGCAATGAGGAAAATCCCCTGCTGGGCCCTTCCTGAATCCATTGCCCTAAAGGACAGCCAACAACCCTCCTTGGCTTTAGCATATTATTTAGCATAATAGTTTGGGGCTATTATGAATCATGCTGCTACATATATAATTTCAAATCAAAAGCAATATGATCAGTTTGAATAGGGAATTTTGCCCTAAAACACATGTGAAGCACTTGCTTTATGTTCTACTTACTAACCTTTCTCCTCCTAGGACACATTATTTTCAAGCTGATGTTTTCAAATATTATTTATTGTGGGTAAGTAATTTAGGCTGGAGAGAAAGTCTTTAATAAGCTAAGGATAAATAACAATTGCCTAATTATGATTCTGTGGAAGAACAAGGCTTTCTGGTGTGTTTGGAATTGTATCTACTAGAGCACCCTTTATTTTAAGCAGGCTGCTTGTGAAAAGCTAAGCCCAAAGTCTGAGTAATGAAACCCTTCATGCTAAATATTGTGGTGGGATAATTTGTACAAAGCTGATGAGTTCATTTACAGAGTGCTAAACAATTTATATGTTAGTCTCTGGGTTAAATGGTTTATAAAATAAACACTTAAGTAAAAATATTGTACAGTTTCAATGAAAAATAGGATTTCCTATAATAAATATTTTTATAAGCTGTGTAGCCCTCACATAATTTTTGATTTCCTGGGAATAAACAAAAAATGTGTAGTTAATAGTTGAGTATAATGGGGAACTTCTTGCTCTTCAGAAAACATTAAAGAGAACTTTAATTAAATTTAAATAAGTTCTTTACCCTTCCAGGCTAGTGCTCTTTGTTTATTATATTTTTGGAGGTCACTGGGGTGACAGCACTTCTAACATCTGTTATCTTTGCTAAGAAGGATAAGAGCCAACACAGTACTTAGAATTCCCAAAGTACTTATACCAACAAGATTATTTCTGCGCAAGGTTCATTATCAAATATCACTGTGACCTTTAGTCTTTCTGTAAGTTTGCCTAAGGCTGAAAAACATTTTGGAAGATTGCTTATGATTTTACTTACAACATTAAGGGAACCCAAATTATAAGGTTAAATATTGATTTAATACAGTTTTATTTTTGATGACTTATTTCCTAATGAAAGAAAATGAATGAAAGTTAGTGCTCAACTCTGATGGAGAATATTAACACAAACAACAATAACAAACAACAGAATCACCTTAAAAACATAAACAAAGGAAAGTAATGTATAAAAACTGCAGTGTTATCTGGGTAGCTAGTAAAAGGAAAATAATGCCCTTATCTTTAGGTTGAAGCTGGTAGTATTTTTAGGCCAAAGTAATTAAGTAATAGGATAATTTCACATACTACTTTAATCCATACTAGTCCTTAGGTTAAGAAATTGATTGGGAGAAATTTTGTGACAATAATATGAGATATGACAGAACAAATGAAATAAAAAAGGAGGATACCATGGATTACATAAAATTTTTAAATTTTCATTTAAAAAATATTTTTCTTATCACCTTTTTTATAAAGTCTTAAAATATTTATTTATGGATAATCTAATGTAAGAAGTTTCAAAATAAGATTGTCTCCTGCCTTCCTGCCTTGCATCTTTCCTCTCCTTCGGCAGTGAGTAAGGCGTAGTACCAGACTCACAGGGCTTCTCAGTGTGCATCAGGGATTTTACTGAAATGCAGATTCTCAGTCAGCAGGTCTGTGATTGACCCTGGAAATCTGTGTTTCTAATACACTTCCAGGTGGTGCTGATGCTGTTGTACCTTGGACCACTCTGTTTGAATAGCAAGGATTGAGAACAGTGCCTCCTCAAAGAATTCATAGGCTAGTTACAGCCACTTCCATTCTCCACTGTAGTTCAAAAAATTTTAGCTTATTTTTCAGATAATGTGTACAACCCAGATGCCAACAAGGAGCTTCTCCCACCTCTTAAGATCTACGTAGAACTGGATTAAAACACATTCCCAATTCTATAGCCTATATAAATTCAAAGACTTTCCCATAGATTATTGAATGAACGCAGAGGTGAAACTTGATTCTTCTCCATTTTCCACAGAAAACCCACCTGCACAAAGATGCTGTCTATTTGTAGACTTTACTGAGACGGGAGAAGACAAGGAGGAGTTGATGTAATCAGTGCAAACACCTCCGAAAGGCACCATGGGCTCCTGCTTCCACAGATTAGCTCAGTTTCTGGATCTTCCCACTGTAGGAAGTGCTGTATCCATTCTGCATTACACGCTGTAAATGCCATCCATAAGCTTGTGCTTCCAAATGTGAGGGAGGGAGCTGGCATTTGAGCTACATCTAATCAGGCACCTATTTAGAACTCTCCTAAAAGAAAAAAAAGAGACAAAATCTTCCTCTGCCTGGATACATCCAGGAGAATCCCTTGGTTAGTATAAATGTTTAATATGTAATAAAATTTAATAATATCAAAAATATGGTGAAATGATTAGACAGGATAATTGAGAACATAAAACAATGCTTAATTAGTTGCTAAATGCTGGCTGTGTGCCCTGTACAGATCAAACATCAGGTGTGCATATGAGTTCTTCATTCTTCTTAAAGTCACTTAATCACATAAGCAACAGTATAAATGTATTTAGTATTTTATTTACATATAGGACAAAATACTGCCAATGGTCTCCAGCCAAAGAACACCAGGGACATCCTTGTGTTTGAACACGTTGGCTTTCTTACTCTTGCAGCAAGGAAGAACGCACCCCGTGGGGAAGGGTCGGGGGCACCTCAGTGAGATAGTGTTAGAAACGGTTTGCAAAAAGATCTGGGCTTGTGTTCAGTGATTTGGGGGAGGGTTTAAGGAAGCAGGGCTTTGCTCAGGATTGGGTGTTGTCAGGAAATGGGGTTCATTCTATGATTAGGCATTTTAATAAATCTTATCTAGAAGAAGAGAAGACTACACAAAGGTCAAATTGTAGTTGCTAAAGAAGCCACATTCACCCATATCAGCCAGCACAGGAGGATGCTAGGTCATTTGTGTGGCTTGGACAATGTCCATGTTGCATCTGTGTTCAGACAGGATTATGAAGTGGCCTTGTTTTTGTCTTTAACACCCTCACAGAGTGGCCTTGTCTGATGTTGGCGTTCCATGAAATGGTTTATGTTACACAGGAGAGCCCCAGTGCCTAGCAGGTAGTACCAAGCCAGTTCCTGGATGTCAGTGGCTGCTTTTCTCTTTCTCAATACATTTTAGAAGAAAAATGTCATTAGCCTTACTTTCTTTTATCAAAGGAGTTTTAAACTATTGAGTAACATGATATATTTTGTAATCATGTGTGGAGAATGGACTATTGGAGGACAGACTGGAGGGGGAGAGACTTAAGGGAAGGGGTAAATTACGATCACTAAACGCTATGTGCCAGGCCCTGTGCCTGGCTGTGGAGCAGCCATGGAGAATGAGCCAGGCTGTCTCTCACAGAGCCACACGTGAGCAAGGAGGAGAAACAAGCATCCGGGTACAGTGTGACCAGCACTGGGATAGGGCTCCCCACCAGGAGAGGCCTCTGACTCACTCTGGGAGGGAAGGAAGCCTCTGGTGGAAACCAATTATGAGTTGGAAAACCAAATGTGAAGAGTGGACAAATGGGAAGTATGCTTCAACCAGGGGAAACAGCATGTTGGGAAACTGTAAGAGGTTAGGAGGCAATTTGCAAAATCCAGGCAAGAAGTAATGAGGATCTGGACCAGTTCAAAGATGGTGGTGAATGAGAGGTAGATTCTATGTGACAGTTGATGGGAGTGGGGAGACCAAGAGGGCGCCCATATTTCTATCTTGGTTAATGCCACTATTAAGGTTAGTGGAATAGGTTTCATGTGGGTGTGTGGTGCACTTTGGGGAAATACAATCATTTTCAGACAAGCTGAATTTGAGGTCCCGTGGAAGATCTAAATGAAGTTAGGAGGGCAGGGGGAGAAAATGGACTGGAGTTCAGAATTCTTTGCCATAGATGTAGATATGGGAAGGACATTAGATTACAGAAGATGATAAAGTCACAGATTGGATGGAGTTATCTAGGTGGAGAACAAAAATCTTCAAAAACAGCAACATTTAAGGGTAAGGCAGAGGGAGTAGAACTTGTGTGATTGGTGTGATCATCACAAATTTAGGGTACAAATATGATATCTTTTGTTTGATCAATTGATCAAGTCCATGCTTGCCATATTAGCAAGGAGTTTTCATACATTTATTCATCAAAAATTTCCAATAAAGGAGCCTGGGCAGCATAGTGACACCCTGTCTCTGTCTCTGAAAAAAAACCAAAAAACTAGCCAGGTATGGTGACACTCATCTGTAGTCCCTGCTACTCTTGAGGCTGAGGCAGGAAGATCGCTTGAGCCTAGCAGTTCAAGCTGCAGTGAGCTATGATTGTGCCACTACACTCCACCCTGGGTGACAGGGCAAGACCCCATGTCAAAAAAAAAATTTCTAAGAATGGCAAGTGTCGATTCAACCCAAGGGTAGAGATCTATGTGTGTCAGTTTTCTTCCAAGCATCAACCTTTGTTTCTTGAGTCCACAGAGTGATTGCCATTGAAGGCTGTCCTGCAGTTTGGTGGATGGTGTTAGGATGCCTTTGTTGGTCCAGAAAGATTACTGTGCAGACCATAGCAGTGCCATAGACTGGATATTAGGGTTATAGCTGCTTTTAATTCACACTGATGCCCAGTGATTTTCCCCCAGTATTCAGTAGCCATGGCAATGTGGCTGGATCTGGAGGAAATTTTGCCAGCCTGTGATGAAACCAACGTACTCACCTCTCCACCTCCATGAATTCTGAGTTGACATCTTTCCTGGTGCATTCTACTCTTGCAATTCTTGGCCCATTCTCCTTTTAGAAGACTTTAATCAACACTACTTGATGAATGCATCCTAACTTTGAATCATGGTGATTGGAGTTTGGGGCTTTGATGTCTCTCTTTCAAGAAGCCCCTGAGTTCCTTATAGGCACTGAGTCACCTCCTCTTCAGTGGTGACTATCTCTGCACACCAAAGGGAGAGATGGTTATTGTTAAAACAAGAAATCAAGTCCTTTATTGCTGAATGACAGGTGCCTGCTCACCCTATATTTGCATAACTAAGAAGATTACTCAAATAATCTTTCTCCTGAGTGGGAACCTCAAGTTCTATCAATTTTAAAAAGGCAAAAATTTTAAAAAGGAAAAAATTACAGATGGGTATCTTGCTATATTAGCAAAGGAGAAGGAAAGTGAGGAGGAGAACAAGGGAGACTGGGGTAAGGAAACAACTGGGAGTTTTCAAGAAGTGAGTGAACAATACTTGCAATTTTCATCAGGCTGAGTAAGATGAAGACTGAGAAAATCCACTGAATTTGGACTTCATGTCATCGTCGGGTAGACATATGAGTGCAGTGGTTCGAAGAGTGAATGAGAGGTGGAGTGGAGACTGCAAGTCTACATATACAGTCAGCCCTTCACATCTGTGGGCTACACATTTGTGGATTCAACCAACCTCAGATGGAAAATATTTGGGAAAAAATTTCATCTGTACTAAATATGTACAGACTTTTTTCTTGTCATCGTTCCCTAAACAATACAGTAAAACAGCTATTTACATTGTGTTAGGTATTGTAAGTAATCTAGAGATGATTTAAAACATATTGGAGGATGTGCACAGGTTAAATGCAAATACTACACCATTTATATCAGGGACTTGAGCACCCTTGCATGGGTGTCTGTGGAAAGCCCTGGAACCAATCCCCCGGGGATACAGGACAACTGAACATTTTCACGCAAGAGTCTTAGCTGCGAAAAGAAAGAGAGGAGATGCTGCAGGGGAGGGGGTGATGTTGGAGGTAGGCTTCTTCCGAACAAGAAAGTGTGGCTCTGAGTTCTTCCGGCCTCACTTTTATTATCTGCTTCTTTAGAAAGTTTGAGTTAGCCAAGAGCCTGGCATAGCAGGATCAACTACTGAAATGCCAAAATGATAAATTTATTTTTAAAGTAAACTTTATATTTTAGAAGAATTTTAGATTTATAGAAGAGTTGCAGAGATAGTACAGAGATTTCCAATATACCTTGTACCCAGTTTCCCCTACTGTTAACATCTTACATTGAAATGATACATTTATGACAATTCATGAATCAATATTCACACACGATTATTAACTAAAGTCCATACTGTATTCAGATTTCCTTACTTTTTACTTATTAGCCTCCTCTTGTTATAGGATCCCATCCAGGATACATAGCATTTAGTCATATTAAAAACAAAACAAAACAACAACAACAAAACGAGGGAAGCCATTAGGCTGAGAGTACTCCAGCATGCTGGAAGGTTTTTAGTAGGCAAACCTTGAAACTCGGAGTAACTTTGCCAATCAGAAACTGCCCACTAATCTCCAGCTACAGACTTTAAAGCTATTGTTCCACTTTAACCAATCAAGTGTTCTCTTTGTCTTGCTTCCGTGAAAACCCTCTGGCCCCTGTATGGAGCCTGAACGGCTTGTGGTTTGGCACTGCCCGATTCGTGAATCACTATCTGCTCAAATAAACCCTTTAAAATTTTAATGTCCCTAAATTTATCTTTCAACAACTTCCTCTTGGCTGTCAGTTTCTCCAACTTTCCTTGTTTGTGATGACCTTGACAGTGTTGAGTAGTGCTGGTCAGGCCTTTTGTAAAATGTAACTCAACTGGAATTGGTCTGATGCTTTTCTCATGATCAGACAGACTGGAGCTGTGGGTTTTGGGGAGGAAGACCACAGAAGTGTCATTTTAGTCACTTCGTATCAAGGGTCCACACTATCAACGTGAGTTAACTCTGTTGATGTTGACCTTGTTTCTCCACTGTGAAGTTACTCTCCCATCCCTGTTCCCCCTATTTCCCATACTGTATTCTTTGGATGAAGTCACTATGTTAAGCCTGTACTTAAAAAGTGGGCAGTTATATTGTACCTCCTTGAGGGTGGAGTGTCTACATAAATTATTTGGAATTCTTCTGCACCAGAGTTTTGTCTCTTCTCCCCAGGATAAATGAATTTTTTATCCTAAAAAAAAAGACTCAATGACTTCACGCCTTGCTTGCTAAGATTAAACTCGTAGGATAAATTTTATCCAGGAAGTTAGCTATTTGGTTCATGTTTTTCAATACAGATTAACATGCTGACAGTAGCAGAATTGAGAGCTGTGAGGAAGAGTCTCACAAAAATAATATCAAAAGCAGCTTATTCACATATTTCTTTCCCTAGTCATTAACATTTCTATAGGCCAAGTAAAAAGTCATCTAATGGAAGCTACTTGTAACTGAGTGATTTGAATAACAAGAAGCTAAAGTACTGGATCAACATTTTTGTTTGTCACTTTTCATTTTCTGATTTTGGAATAGGTAGCACAGTATAAATAATTAAAGTTAGAGGGTTTCTTGTCCTTATAATTAGCACTGGGAATGGAAGAGAAACCACAGAATAAAATGCACTGGTTGTGTTGGGCAGCCATATTCCGTCTGGGTTCTACCACTTGCTAGTTGTGTGATCTCTGTAAGCCTCGATTTTCTCACCCATAGACTGAGAAAAGTAATAATGCCTACATAACACAATTTTTGAGGACTAAATGAGATAATACTTTAACTGCATTTTTGAACTCTAAAGTTGCCCTGGTTGCTCAAGCCACTAATTCCTGGGGCTGACACTCAGCCAGGGTGCACTGCAGCAGTAAGTAGAGATGTTTTATTCCTAACGTTCGTCAGTTTGGCCAGGCCCCAAGTTGTATTAGATGTTAAATATTGTGCATATCAGCGCCGTTACCCACTGAGGAGCCACACCGAGTCGGCTTCTTCCTGGCTCTCACAGCCACGTACGGACTGTTGGAACTAGCACCGTCTCTGTCCCTGGGCCTCGCCACACACTGATGATTAAGATTCCCTGATGTCTGGGGCTATGGGAGTGGGTAGGCAGCCAGGGATTTACCTTGGTGGAATTTGAAAGGCAAACATTCCTCCTGCAGAAGGCGCCCCGTGGTGCAGCCCTTCCCAGTGTAAGCGCAGACAGGCAGACAGACACTCCTGTGTTCACGGCTGTGGTTCTGCCCACGCCCGTCTGCTGGTGTAAACTTTATGGCAGTGGACATAACTAGTATTCAGTGAAGACAGTTTTGTTCCTTTCCTTGCTTTCCTTTCATTAATATGTTATCCAAAGTAATGAACACATGAAGGAAATCATGCCCCTGAGTAATTTCTTAAGTATAAGCAAGGTAGGCATGAGTACAAACATATCAAAAATTCCAAGTCCTATTTATGACTGAGATTGGACATAGCTGTTCCAGGGAATTAATCACACCTTTACATATAAAAAAATATTGAGTAGTATCTCCTCAAATACATTATAATTTGAAGGTAGTTTATTGAATGAATTCTACTTTTTTTGGAAAAAATGCTTAGTGCTTTTGAAAAAAATAATAATATCATAATTTCTCAGTTATATTTCATTTTTCCAAGTCAGCATTTTGGCTAAAGAGTTTAGTTTTTTTTATTTGTAGAATTGTATCAATTGGCTGAGATTGAGTACACAAATTTTTTTATAATTGCAAATTACTTATTAATGTGGGTTTTTAAAAAGTCATTATTTTGGAGGAAAAAGCAATTGTGTATTCCATTTTGGTATTAAAAATGGAAATCACTAGTTCATAAGGAAAAACAAGAACATTTCAGCCTCCTTCTCACTGTTTAATTTTGAAAATTTGACTTCAACTGCAAGGATGTCTCCTATTATTTTGGCTTAAGTATGGAAAAAACTCTGCAACATTCCTGAACTTGGTGATTTTCCTTTTCCCAGTCACAAGTCTTGTAGTATGAAAACTATCATGAGATAGTTCCTGCAGATAAGGTTTATAACATCACATCATTTTATTCTTTTATTTCATCCAAAAGTATTTCATAGTTTGTTTTTTTGTTTATTTTATTTTATATTATTATTATTATTTTATTTTGCACAGAGCAAAACTCTTATCTTCATTTCATTTTGTTAAGCACATCACTTAATAATGCTGAATTGAATTCTACTAAGAATAAATACATATTATCAAAGAAGCTAGAGGCAGAATGGGCAGTGAAACCCACTGCATTTGTTCCCATGTAAGACATGTAGTGTCTGGATAGCTTTAATCTGTACAAGAGGCAAGAATTTTAAAACCAGAAATGTTCTTAGAAATTATCTTTTAATTTGCGTCTTTTTACAGTGAAGGAAACTGAGTTCCATGAAAGTTAAGCAACTTGCCTTAAAACACAGAGGTGCTTAGAGGAAAACCGAGCTGGCTCATGGTCCCGTGTTCTTTGTGCTTATTTCACTGCTTCTTGCCCAGTGCTGATTAGGGCATGGTTCAATCCCAAAGAGAATCAAGAGCTTCCCAAGCTGCCAACTGTAACTGAAAGAGCCAACTTCATTCATTGCACAGTTCAAAGAAACAAGCCAGCAGGGCTCAAATCTGGTTGTTAGAGGTATGTTAAAAGTAATTATTACTAGTAAAATGTATAAACGTATTAAAGCTATGAATGAATATAGTAGCATGCTTTTGGTTGTAAGTGATAAGATCCCAAATAGAACTAAAGCAAAAAAGAGGATGATTTGATGTTAGGATTCTCAGGAATCTCACATAATTGAAGCAAGAGCTGCACCACCAAATTGAGGATAAAGCTGGCTTCAAGAACAGCCTGGATGGTGACTGGATGTTGCTGGGCTTCTCATTTTCTCAGAACCTTCTTTAAGCTTTCACTTTGAATTACTAGGGATGTTGGGGGTAGGGTGGAGGAAGTTGCTATACAAACATTAAGAGCTTTGGAGGTCAGTCAAAACTAGATTCTAATTTAGTTTTGCAATTTTACCTTGGACATGTCATTTTGTGGCTCTGTAGGGATAAAAGTCAGTTCAAAAATAACTCTCTCTCAGGGTTTTTTGGGAGAATTACATGCCATAATATACATAAAGTGCTTAGCATAACAGTTGGTTTATAGTAGCTACTCAATAAATAG